TATGTCTGTATGTCTGTCTGTCTGTATGCATGCATGTATGTCTGTCTGTATGTATATATGTCTGTCTGTATGCATGTATGTATGTATGTCTATGTATGTATGTGTGTCTGTATGCATGCATGTATGTCTATGTATGTATGTATGTGTCTATGTATGCATGCATGTATGTCTGTATGTATGTCTGTCTGTCTATATGTATGTATGTATGTCTATGTATGTGTATGTATGTCTGTATGTCATTATGTATGCATGTATGTCTGTCTGTATGTCAGTATGAATGTATGTCTGCATATCATTATGAACATATGTCTGTGTGTATGTGTGTATGGATGTCTGTATGCATGTATGTCAGTATGCATGTCTGTCAGTATGTCTGTATATATGCATGTATGTCAGTCTGAATGTATGTATGTATGTATGTCTGTATGCCATTATGATGTATGTCTGTGTATGTCTGTATGCTATTATGAATGTATGTGTTGATGGATGTCAGGATGACATAGATGCACTTGCACCGGGGCCTGCACACTAATGGGGCCACCCGTGCACTTAGGGCTACCCAATGGGCCCTATATCTTCAGGGGCCTGGTCAGCGTAGTATAGCGTGACCGGGCCCCTTTAAAAAAAAAAAAAGCAGTCGCAGCAAGTGCTGCTGGGAGAAAGTGGTCACGCCCAGCAGTGAGGGAGAGCTATGCCGACTACTCCCATCAGCCCCAGCCACCCTCCTGCAAAGAAAAGGTAAGAGACAGGATCAAAGAGCTTCTGGAAGAAGTTTCTTAACCTCCAGAACTATTTAGGAGGGTCCTTGGCTTGGTGATCCTGTCTGGGTAGCCGGTTGTAATCTGTAAAGATAAACAGAATAAATATAAATAAATATTAGTGAAAAAGTAAACAAGCACACAAAATTAATTGAATTAGAAGATTCCCAAACCAGAGAAATACCCTGCCGCCACCAGGCAATAGAAATAAACCTGGGGAGGGAGGGATGGGCGCTTTGCTGGGTGGTTATGCTTATCCCTAGGACAAAGAAAGTTTGCAGGTCATCGATTCCTGCAAACTCTAGTTTGTCCCTCCGGGAGGCATACCCACCTAGCAAAGCTAGTGGGTTGAATAGCACGCACCTGGTGGTGGTCCTAAGGACCTGTAAACATTCCACTTCAGTTGGCCTCCAGTAAAACCTAACGAAAGTCTTACTGGAAGACCATCTTGCAGCTTTAAGGATAATAGGAAGAGGAAGGCCTCTCGCTGCTGCTTTTGAAGCTGAGGCCCCTCTGATAGAATGACCCTTAAAAACCGTGACATCAATACCCGCTGCAGACATAGCGGACAGTATCCAACCCCTGATTGTGTTAACCTTAGCTGGCCGAAAAGGTTTTCTGGAGGTGATAAGTAATTGCGTAAAGTCTTGTCTGACTGGGGCAGAAAGATTCAAGTCTAAATTTAACAAATTAACTAAGCATAAACTCGGCTCAGCAGAATCCTGCACCAAATCTAGTTCTACAGGACCCGGGAAAATATGGGAAGTCTTTTGTCTCCCTTTAAGGATGACATGAAATCCTCCAGGAGTTCGAAACAACCATGGTTCGACAATATTTAGCTGGGTTAATTCTGAGCCTCTAGCTGCCAGAGCTAAAGCTAGAAGGGATACCAATTTAATCGCCGTCCATCTTAGGTCAATCTGGTCATTGTCCAAAGAATTAAGGTAGTTTAATAAAAAGTCCACATCCCAAGTGGAAGTGTATCTCGGAGTAAAAGGCCGGCAGACTGATAGCCCTTTGAGTAACCTGAGGTAAAGGGCGTCTTGGGTCAGATTAGGGATTATAAAATTTTATGCAGAACCATACGTCTTAATTGTACTGACTGCTAACACTGAATGATATTTGAGTGTGAGGAATTCCAAAGCTAAGGGAATTGTGTCAGATTCATGGGAAAGGGAATGAAAGGAAACTTCCCATGCTTTAAATTCCTCGATCATCTGTTTGTATCTTACCCTGGTCCTGCGCCGTAATGAAGAATTAACTATGTCTAAAACCCGGTCACACAGAAGAGGATGCGTTAAAAGCCTACCAGGGCTGCCATCCACATAAGTTGGAGGAGCTTTGTTAAGAGATCCCTGGTCCCTAGGAAGCAATCTTTTGTCCAGCCTAATGGAACCTGTGGTCCCCTGATTAAAGGTTGGTTCAGGGGGTACCATGGTCTGGAGGTCCAAATGGAGTACACTAAAACCAGATTGGTCACCCTGTCCCTGCAAAGTTTCTCTAACACCTTCATCAGAATAGATGGAGGGGGAAAAGCGTAAAGGCCCGGAATGTCTGTCCATTGGAAAGACATTGCATCCAACTTCCAAGCTCCTTTTGCCCAAGTCCTGGATACAAATTTGGGTGTCTGAGCCGAAGTCTGAGATGCAAAAAGATCTATCTGTCTCTTGCCTAGTCTGCTCTCTATCAGCTGAAATAAGGCACTCTTTAACTGGACTGTAGCAAGGAACAAATGCTGGCGGGACAGGGAATCTGCCAGTTCGTTTGCCTCTCCAGGTACGTGAACTGCCAAAATTCGAACTTTGTGAACCAGAGCCCAGGACCACAGGTCCAAGGCCTCTAGGCAAAGACCTTTTGACCTTGTGCCCCCTCTGTGGTTGACATAAGCTACCGCTGTCCTGTTGTCTGATTGAACCATTACCGACAGACCTATGGGGTTCAACGGAACAAGGCCTTGGAGGGCTAATTTGATTGCTCTCAACTCTAGTAAGTTTATGTGGAGAAGTCTTTCTTGAAGTGACCAAACTCCTCTTATTGAACCTTGGGCAGAGAAAGCACCCCATCCCTTGGTAGAAGCATCTGTTAAGCATCAAGGCTAACTCGAAAGGCCCTTCCAGAAGGGGGCGAGGAAGTGGACTTGCCCCTTCCAATATCTTGTTTAGCTTTTTTTTTGACACTCGTGGAAAGGACCACCCTTGACCCCCACTGGCCACCCCATCTCAGTTGGTTTCCTAGAAACAGCTGACTTTGTCTGCAAAGCAAGGGGGAATCATCGTAACCCAGTGTTAATGCTATCAGCCTCCCAATTGTCTTTGCTATCTCTCTTAGGGACCATCTGTGTTTGAGATAGGATTTTTTCCCATTTGTCTCGGGGAACACCCAAGGTCATATACATAGTGTTCAGCATGAAACCCAGAAATAGGATATTCTGAATAGGGACTAGTATGGATTTTTGAAGATTTACAATAAACCCCAGGTCCTGTAATAAGGAAATTAGGTAATCTCTCTGCTGAACGAGAGTATCTACCTCTGGATTCAACAACAGGATGTCGTCTAAGTAATAAAGGCATAGAAGTGCTCTTTGCCTGACGTGGGATATAATAGCTTTCATTATCCTGGAAAATGTGTAAGGTGCATTGGATAGGCCAAACACCATTACAGTCCAGTGATATATCTGTTCACAGTCCAGTGATACATCTTGGACGTAAAAACCCAAGGGCAGAGTACAGAACATATGAGGAAAGGGATTTAGGGGTGATTATTTCTGATGACTTAAAGGTAGGCAGACAATGTAATAGAGCAGCAGGAAATGCTAGCAGAATGCTTGGTTGTATAGGGAGAGGTATTAGCAGTAGAAAGAGGGAAGTGCTCATGCCATTGTACAGAACACTGGTGAGACCTCACTTGGAGTATTGTACACAGTACTGGAGACCGTATCTTCAGAAGGATATTGATACCTTAGAGAGGGTTCAGAGAAGGGCTACTAAACTGGTTCATGGATTGCGGGATAAAACTTACCAGGAAAGGTTAAAGGATCTTAACATGTATAGCTTGGAGGAAAGACGAGACAGGGGGGATATGATAGAAACATTTAAATATATAAAGGGAATCAACACAGTAAAGGAGGAGACTATATTTAAAAGAAGAAAAACTACCACAACAAGAGGACATAGTCTTAAATTAGAGGGACAAAGGTTTAAAAATAATATCAGGAAGTATTACTTTACTGAGAGGGTAGTGGATGCATGGAATAGCCTTCCAGCTGAAGTGGTAGAGGTTAACACAGTAAAGGAGTTTAAGCATGCATGGGATAGGCATAAGGCTATCCTAACTATAAGATAAGGCTAGGGACTAATGAAAGTTTTTAGAAAATTGGGCAGACTAGATGGGCCGAATGGTTCTTATCTGCCGTCACATTCTATGTTTCTATGTTTCTATGTTTCTATGTTTCTTTTCAGCGGAATCTGAGAAAGCGCCTGTGTTTCATAGCGATAGGAACTGAATGGAAAGCATCTTTGAGGTCTAATTTTATGCAGAAGACATTTTTCTGCACTAGGCCTGGGAGATCCGTTAAACCTTCCATCCTGAACCTTTTCCTCTTTAGGAAAGCATTCAAAGCTTTGACATTTAGTACTGGTCTCCATGTGCCGTCTGATTTTGGAATAGGGAACAAGGGACTGATCTAGCCTGAAATTGACAAATCTGCCAATTCTATTTTTCCCTGAGCTAATTCCTGGAAAAGAGAGGAATCTAGAACTGGATTTACCTCTCTGCCTGGAGCTTGACTCTGAAAAGGAAACTGAATGAGAGGGAGTTGTAAACCCCTTTTGAAAATCTGAAGCACCCATTTGTCTGAGATTATGTCTGACCAATTTTGAGAGATGTGAGGTAAACCACTTACTTGACTGCATGGGTCTTCAGTTTCCTGATGAGCCACGTCTGGCATGGACTCCTCTGCTACTGCCTGGGGGTCTTGACTTTCCCCCATGGTGACGAAAGTGGGCTTGCTGAGTAACTTCGACCCTAGGAACGACCCTCGGTCTGAAAGGGCTTTTTGAAGCTTGGAAAGCTCTTCTTTAAATCAGAGAAAGATCTTCTAGCTTTATATCGTCCTTTCACTTCTTGTATAAAAGAGGGGCCAAATAGAAAGGAGTTTTCAAAATTAGGGAATTCATGTGATTTTGGTGCTAAATCAGACATCCCTGCTGCATGCCTGCGAATGTTAGAAATATAGTTGAAGGATTAACCGATGATAAGCACCGCTCTGCTGGAAGCTTTTAGAAGTGCCATCTTAGAAGCAATTAAAGCTGTTAGGGAAGGGTTATGAGAGGATCCCTCCTTCTCTGCCTTATCCAACATAAGTAGCAAGGGACCAACAGCATCCGCAATTTTAAATTGTACATTGCGCAATGTCTGATCCATGGGATCCGCAGAAACACTGCTTCCTGTAATGGATAACAGTGCTGGATCAATTTCAGGGGCCATTAGCGCCTTAATGTCAGGAATACCAATATGATTTCTAAGGAGGAGATCATCCTCTTTAACTAGCGGTGATCTGAAAGCTAGTTTGGCAAAATCCCTGACTTCTAAATCTTTTTCGATGGCCCATCTTGAATGGAATAATTTTGAAGAGAGCACTTTACCTAAAAGGCTCACTCTGTCCATTTGAATGTTGCTCAACTTCCCTCGTTCAGTGGAAGCTGCAGAGCGAACCACCTCCTCGCACTCCCAATCAATCTCCGGTGATCCCTGTCTGGAGCAGGACCGGCTTAGGGAGGATGAATGAGCAAATGCCCTTGAGGTGGACGGTGAGGGACTGACAGCACTCAAACAAGTTTTGTCCCTTTTGTGAGAAAACTGCTTTGAAACCTTAAACAAGGGAAAAGCACGTTTCGCTTTTGGAGGTACTGTCCCTTTAAAATGTCTACTACTCAAACAAGAATGAGGGGAAGAGGGACCAAAATCAAGTTCATCCTCAGAACTTGAAGAGGAAAGGCAAGCCTTCTTTTTTTTTTACTAACTGGGACTATATCCTCCTCAGAAGATGAAGAGGATATGTCCCTGGCAAGGAAGGCTCTCTTATGGAGCCTTCTAACGTTGATGGGGCTGTCTCTAGGAGAGACATACACCATATCTGTGACAGACACAGAAATGGAGTCCTCTATCAACGTTGCCATTTTAAAATCTGAGGTGATCAGGGCTGCCGCGAGCTACACGGCTGTCCTGATCACCTGATTGGCTAAAACACAAGCGATTTTAGCGCGGCAAAATATTTCTCCGGGACAAAAAGAGTTGACAACCTGTGCACCAAAATCCTATCCTGTTTCATCACTTGAGAATTTTCAAAGGATTTGAGGACAAAGAAAAAGAAAAAAAAGAGGATTCTCCATTCAACAAAAATCACCTCCTTAAGGGACACGCCAGACCACTGGAGCACTCTAGCTTGCTGAAATGCTTTATGTGTAAATAGTGTTTCCTAGTTCTTTCATTTTGCAAAAAGTGCAAATGTCAATAGAAATTGGCACTTTTATAAATTAACCTGACTACACCCTGCTGGCTTTCAAGCAGACAACCAGTCTTTTACTTCCTGGTTTGGTTAGCTCAGTTGAGCCAAACTCAAGAGACAGCGATTGCTCAGAGCACCTGAGCTACATGGGGAAGTCATTGATAAGACAGTCACAAGACGTCTGGGTGGAGTTAGAAGGGGAGGGCTTGCGGAGAAGAGAAATGCAGGTTTTGCATATAAGAGGTTTTAAGATATAACTCCAAAGAAAAAATGCATTATTAAATGCATGCAAGTTTTTCTTTAGGATATATCTACTAAAGATGATTTTTTTTTTAATATTGTATTTGGGCAGTGGAGTGTCCCTTTAATTTGTGGTTTCATAATGAGGAAATTTCACTTGCCTGTTATTAATCCAAGTTCTTGTATGAAGTGATGCTCACCCAATACACTGAAAGACGTTGACAAACAGGATGAATAGGCTCTGCTGATTCACCCCTGGTTCTTTCTATGTGGTCCAGTCAACACAGGTGCTTGCAACAATTTAGTTGCATGGAAAGGGTCAGTGACAATTTGGATTTGCCAAACGTCTTGTGTTGTTTGGTACATTTGAATCTTCCTGTAGTCCAGCAGTCTGAGGTTTCAGTGCAACAGAAGATCTAGTTGATTAAAACTCCTGAGACAATGTGTTCTTACAAAAATTTGGACATAAATGTTGTAATTAGGATCTCCTAATCTTGACATTACAAATTAAGGCAGTGAGATGGCTGTCTACTTTGTGCTGAGGCTCACCTGACTGTCTGGTTGACTTGGGAGCTCTAGAAAAGTTACAACTTCTTTTGAAATCGCATCTTTAATAAAGTACGAAAGACGAACACTTTGAACATCTAAAGCACTTCAGCAAGCTGAAATGATTTAAGGTTTTGAATTTTTCCTTTAAGTGCTTCTGACCAGTCAATGCTTCATTTTTCTGACAGAGTAACACAGAAACAAAGGAAGACTAAGTGGAGAATAGTTTGCAGACCGTACCAAAACAGAGGAATATAACTTTGTTGGTAGCAGCGGTGGGTTTCATTACATATGCAGCAATTGTATATAAAAACTGGTCAGGTTTTATTTTTATAGAAAGATTTTAATACTTTAATTGGTGCTCCTGAATACAATTATTCACATAATATAATGTTGAGAATGTAATGAAAATAGTTTACCCGGGTTACTTGAAGCATAAAATCACGATATATTAATGATTGTTATAAAAAACAAAGGTGAATCAGGTAATTTTAAGCTAATTTATACCTGTGAATTTCACCTCAAATGTTACACCATAATCACGTCTGCTACTAAAACAAATTTAGCTTAATAAAGCTGTTTTACTGAATGCATCATGCTTGTGCAGTCTGAATGCTCAATTCACTGCCACTTATGAGTTAAAATACTTTTGTTTCTGTTTATGGAGTCCGTGCCACACCTCCCGGGTTGTGAGTCACAAAGCAAGCGTGAAAAATATGGTTTCAGTTTCAATCAGACATGACAGCACAGTGTGTTAACTTTAGAGGTTTTTGTCCCAAACTAATAAGTGATTTAACTCCTAAATGTCAGAGAATTGAGTAAGAACGCAGGGACATGATCTATACACTAAAACCATTTAATTAAGCTAAATTTGTTTTGCTGCTTTCGTGTCCCTTTAACCTTCCTACATGGAATGTTGGAATGTTGGACGATCAAAAGTCCAGGGATCTTTTCTTATTTGTCCTCCACATTTACAGTTTGGGGTGAGAAACAAGTAGAGGGGAAAGCGACTCCTATGTGTTAATATTAATATGCTAATTTAGAGATCTAGTCATGGGAAAAAAAATCTCTTAAAGACCAGCAAATTAATTTTAATATTTTAAGTCAGCATGATTACATGCTGGTTAGAAATCCATCTGTAGTATTTCTAACTCTTCTTAAAAATTGCAGGGTAATTTGCCAGCAGAGTCAACCCAGTCTGCCATGTTTCAGATATCAGCAAAATGGGTGCCATTTATTTGGTTATTAATAGCATTAGGACCTTGGGACTTACTTTAAAAACTAGCAAAATCTAAACAACAACAAGAAGTAACCCATTGAGACTTAAAGAATGGAAATTTTGCCCGCAGCAGCGTAAAGGGTATTTTACAATGAGAACAAGAAAGATATAGCATTCTCTGCCTAAGGAGGTTATTTTATCAGATTCTGTAGAGTTTAAAAAAAAAAAAAACTTGAATGCTTTTTAAGGAAAAACTGTATATTCTAGGATATAATAGTTACTATACAATAAAATGGTTAATTTAAGGAGATAACTGCCATTTTAGTGTCTGAGAGGAGTTTTTCCAATTTAGTAGGATAATTGAAAAATGCATCAACAAAGATTATACCTTGTTTTTGAACCCGCAAAGCAGAGATGTGTGAATAGCTGAACTTGATGCCCTTGGGGTTTTTTTTCAAAGAATATTACTGTGTAATTATACGATTTTCTTTAAAAATATTCCAGATTATATTGTGGTGGCATGTTCCCTGTGAATAATAGAGTACTTGGAGAGCGTAAAATAGAAATATCTTTTGCAAAGCTTTAGTTGACTTAATTCAAATGACAAAATATTATATGAATTTTGATAAAATTATATATTTTCACTAAATCAGATCATTATCATCTTAATGTGTGTCCCATCCTTTGCATGTTAATAACTCCTTGCAGGCTACATCTTAACCTACTAAATATAACTGACACTTCTTTCAAGCTTAATTCCCCTGACTCTCTTTTCTCTCATTTTATTTTAATAACTCAGACCACCTTCTGCTTTGACATGTTTTATTTCCTACTTGCCGCATGGCATACTTGTTAGACTGATAAGGAGTTCTCTGCTGTGGATTTTACAGTCATCAAACATTCGTGTAATGTTTTTTTGGTTTTTTTTGTATGTTTTCTGTAGTTGTTAGATTATCATAAATTGGCTTATAGACATATTTGTAAAATAAAAATCATTGTAAATCATTGTAATCATTTAATTCACTGCTGCACATTCATTTGGCATCTGTAAACCACATTTTCTAAAATTGCAGTGTTAGTTGGGAATTACTGGGATTTGTAATGTGAATTTAAACATTTTGGCCATAATACCTGAATTAAAAAATATTTTCTAATCAGCTATGCTTTGGGTCATGTTGTTAAAAAAAAAAAATGTTAAAAAAATTTACTTTGAGTTTACGTTCCTGACAGTTCACTCTTTACTAAATACCCCTACTTGTAAATGTGTCCATATTTGCTTTGGGGCTCCATAAACGCCCCACTTCTCTCACAAAGGAGCAGAAAGAGTTGCATTTAGCTCCTCTTACTGATTTTATGTTACCCTTTTGAGCTAATTAAAACTATTTTTCCTAGGACACAAAAAAAAATCAGAAATGGCGTAGAGACAAAAAAGGAACACTTTATTGCTGGAGTGTGGCCAATGGGCTTGGCTCTTCTGGAACATTTCATATGACTTCATCATCTAACGAACACTCTAGTAGCTGGCATCAGTGTTCACAATTTTAACACAATTTTGTCACATGTTGTATATAAACCAGTTGCCCAAGCATGCTGCTCATTTTACCAGTGCATGCTTGCAATTTACCACTTTGCAATGCATACCATTCAACATGTGGCCTCAGGAACTCGGGATAGGATGAGTGGAGGCCAGAGGGACATGAGCTGTGTCACTAGTGATGCCCACAATGGGTGGATCCTCCTGGAACAGGGGCAGGCTCACCCAAAAGTTGTGGGCCCATCCAAAAAAGGGATGGGTTTACTTACTGACAATCTTCCTTGCTGGCCGCCAGCCTTCAGGACAATGCAGGGAGTACTGCTGAAGCTCTTATATTGTGCTCATTCTGTGCTGCCTGTGGACAGTTCTCTGATGTCCCCAGATGCAGGACACTGGAGAACTAAAGCAGGGCAGAACCTCAAAATTGGAACCATTGGAAGGCATGACACAACTCATTCTCGGCACTGAAAAAGTTAAGATTTTTTTTATTCTGCTGTACTTTATATGTAACATCATTGTGGCGTCTAATGGTACCAGGTGGAGGGATCTGAAGTGGTTCAGACACCACTGTCACACATTGTCAGGGCATCATCTGGAAGTCGAACCACAGCAGCCATAGTTCTAAACTGAAGCACTTACCAAAACTCAGACAGCTTGTAAATATGGTAGCTTTTTGCCACTGATTTATGGTTTGGAGTCAAAACATTA